AGCAATAAGCTACCTAATTCTTTTGGCTTAACATGTTTGCAGAGTAATGTTCAACTATCACTAGTTTTCCCTTCAATCTTGATTTTCGATACAGATCTTCGTTGCGCTTCTCGTCTCTTAGTTTGAATCTGGCGAACATACTCTGCAACAACAACATGCAACTTCGGTGCAAGTTTACTTGGAGAAGAGACATTAAGACCTGCCCTTTTCAACGCCCGTGCGAGATGTTTTTCAGCCGCTTGAGCATGGACAGGGCAATGAGGAGGATTAATGGATCTTAGGATTGGTTTCTTGCAAATCTGCCCGCTGTATGTAAAAGATACATTCAATATTCGACTACTTTAGCGAAAAAATGTACTAAGCAAGTATAACTAGAAACCCAAGCCCAAATGGGGAGACCAGGCATGGATATTAATTGGAGGACATGGTTATCCATTATAGTGACCTAAACAAGAAATAAAGCCAACTATAAATGATGCAGTGGCTTTCCTAGGCCAGAAGAGGTATGATAATAATTGACACCACTAAGTTAACATCTAAAAATAGTGTTAGCTATGTGTCCCCTAGCATACACCTCCCAAATGTTTAAAATGAAGAGAGCAAGAGATTAAGTGCCTAGTTTGTGAGTTTGGCCCAGCTCATGACTCATGAGTGAGCTTTTCTGCAACAAAAGTAGAAGCAATGTCTTTGGCTATTAAAAGTTCTAAATTTTTTAGCTTATGCAGGAACCCTGTCAGAGTTTTCAGACAAAACTATAAATCAATCCTTCTTCATAAAAGAGAAAATGCATAGTAACACTTCCTTTCTCATTTACCCTTTAATTGGAAAATTATAACTTTTCCACGTTCATCATTTGATTTAGCCATTTAACTTTCTCTTTATGTCATTTATCTTTATTTCTAATAAACAAAAAAAATATTTTCCTCATTTATTTCTTTCAGCTTAAAACTTCTCATTTAGTTTAATAACATTGAATGTTTTATTTTATTTTTACGAAGAAGAAAATTAATAAAATTATTTTTCAGCATCCTATAGCACTTATGCATTAAGCTTGCAGAACTCTCATGGCAGTTGTACATCAAGTAAGTTGATTTCACTATGTTAGTGACTCCGACTCCAATAACACTTCTTTAGAGAAGTCCCAACCATGCCAAAAGGCCCTCTGCCATTTATAGAGTGACGAATAAAATATTGACATCCAAGTAACAAATGCAGGTGCAAAACTCACAGAATTTATATGGTATACAGTGATAACATACGGCAGCAGAACAGTCCAATGATCCCGTATACATGATTTAAATTATTTTCTCAAAAGAAAACAAAATTACTACAGTAAAGTACATACTGAGCTGTGACTATGAGATAACAGGTGGGATTATTTCTCATATCCTATGTTACTTAAACTCGAGTGTAAGTGTCCTGTAAGGGAGGGTATGATCATATTTTTCTATGTTTACTCAAGCATTTGGAGGATCCTTGGAGGTTATATTCTCATATCTATGTCTTGGACATAAGTACCAGACATGGATAGTTCAATAAAAATGAAGAGTTTGAGCAAAATAGCTCATATCCACAGAAGAGATAAGTTTAATCCAATTTTTTGGAATGTTTCCAAGAGGTTGAGGCAAACAAAGCCAAAACTCTCTTCAACCTTTCCATATGCCACCAACAAAAACTTTGCTTTCCTTTGTTTTTCCCTGTAAAATTTCATTCTTGTATTGTTTGGGGCATAGCATTATGAATTAAAGACCATTCAAACATCAATATTGTCTTAACCTATCTTACAACAAACGGCATTCTCTCTAATAACACTCGGTCACTCGCACCAATAATAGATACTTTTCCTAACAAACATCAAATCAAGGATCCTCTAGGCTATTGAGAAAAAATAAAAAGGAAATAACACATATTCACAAGAATACACCATGATCGCAATGGCATTTAAATTCCATCATATGTTCCTTCACCACGGTGTGTGGAAATCACTTCCATTATTTCAAAACAAACATCATGTTTAAATTCACGAATAGTCTACCAAGCTGAATACCTTAATCCATCCACAAAACTGGGGTTGGAAAAAAAGTAGTGCGTCCCTAAATAAGACTATGTTTGTTAGTTAGGAGATGCTTTCCGTGTGTTTCAACTTAATGCTGATATTCTCAGGGACAACCCAATATTTTATGTCAGGGGTGGGGCGAACTTCTAAAATTCTGGAGTCTAAAAGAGGTTATCAATAGAAAATATACGATAATTTGAAATTTTCAGGGGCTCTCCGAGCCACCCCTTTCCATCCCTGGATATTCTTAAGATCCCTCGTCCAAGAATCCTTATATCGCTGTATAGGATCAAAGTTTTAGGTTCTAAATTAGATGAACACTGATTCTTTATTAAATTAAATTTCCAAAGTCGGTAATTCCAATTGCATAAATGTTATCTCATATCACACAAAAAGGGAGAGAAAAACTAATTCATGATTTTCCCTAATAATCAATTATAGCAGAAAAAGAATTCAATAAAAATAAATAAAAGGCAAAAAACATATAAAACTAACCTCTTGACAGGATAATTACAGCCTCGATATAGTGTCTGTTTTGGATCCTTTAAAATATGCTTATGACAGTACCGAGTCAACGCCATCGCCTTCTCTTTACAATCGGATGTCTGACACTTCAGCTGAAATCCTAACCCTAACCCTAACTTATTGTTTCCATCGTTCTGCTCGCCATCCTTCTTCTCGTCTTCCTTGAAGGGACTCTTTCCGTACGTCCAATAGTATTCCTTGTGTTGTCTCCTGACCTCCTCCATGAAGCCCCAATAGTGAGCTCTGTAGAGCCTGCAAAGTTGCCTCAGCCTTCGTAACCGCCGACGAATAACCTCTTGTCGGCTTAGGAACTTGGACTTGGAGAGGGCCAAGTCCTCGTCGGTGCCGTCGATGGTAATGGGATCGTCCATGGCTGGCGGTGATACGGTGGTACTGTATCTGGAAATCGAGTTGGCGCACTTTATTCTTATTTGATTTGTTTCGGGCTTTTAATTTTTGGGAATATTCTGTCGTTGTTTGATTACGAGATTTTCATTTTAAAGATTTGATTTCTGAGTTCTGATTGAGTATTATTCAAGGAAGAAAAGAGACCGTGAGGCTTTTTTAGTCCTATTCATTTTAGAAGCCTTCCAACTTTAAAAAAAATCAATTAAGTCCCCGATTTTTTTTCTTCCAATTAAATTTATGCACTTAAAATAGGGTAAACAACACTTCCATTCCCTTATATATTTAGTATGTTATTTTTAAGTCACTAGTTTTGTAAAAGTTTGGTTTTGGTCCTTTTTTATTCATCATATTTTAGTTACTCGATCATTAACTTTCGTTATTTTGTTGATGTGATATATTAGTAAAAAATTGTTAAATTTTACTTGAAACCTAAATCTAAACTTAATACTAATTTGATCTTATATAAACTATTAATTCAACTCTTAACTTTATATTAAATGTTAATTTAACCCTTAAACTTTTTATAAAATATTTGTTTTATTTCTTAATCTAGTTAAAGTTCACTTCACTGATTATCACTCATCATCACCATTGATCACGTTGGTTGTCACCATCGATCATCGTCGATTACTAGATCTCAAAATTTTTAATTCAACACTTTTGACCTCCTAAACGTAAATTAAATGTTTGTTTCATCAAAATATCTTGAAATTAACAACACTGACAATAACATTTAATGGATGGGGTGACTATTCATACAACCACTTAATTATTGCTTATTTTTATTTTGATAATTGATTTTGAAATTTCGTCAATCAAACCATTAAACTATTTAAGTGTGTCAATCAAGCCACTTACTGCTAACATTTAACGAATGAGTGACATTGTTGTTTACAAAATTATATAATTATAAATTTGGTCCTCAATTAAGACACCAGTGGCATGTGTCACTTTCTAATTGGAGATTAAATTTATTTAATTGAACTAAAATTAAAATTAAATTGATAATGTATAAATATTGATGATCAAATGTGTAATTATACCATTTTTAGCAACCATGTCACGTCCTAGTTGAAGGTTAATGACAAGTGGCTTGATTGATATACTTAAATATTCAGTAGTATGATTGATGAAATTTCAAAATCAATGATCAAAACAAAAAATACAATGGGAGTGTTTGGCAAACAGCTTTTTGAAGAGTTTTTAGCTTATTTGAGCATAAATAGTTTATTGGTAGTCAAATCTTTTATTTTTAGTGTTTGGTAAACACCTTTTTGAAAGAGTTTATTATGCAAAATAAACTGAAAATGAAACGCTAGAAAACCCAACGGTTTGGAAGAGCTGATTACAAAATAAGATGTTAAATGACATATTTGACCTTATTTTTTCATAATTGTATCCATACCATAAAACTTAATATAATGAAATAGCCTTCATCATAAAATATTTAAGCTGAAAATTTATTTTATTATTCTATTTTTTAATTGTAGATTCTCAAATATATTTTTTAGTTGAAGTTAAAAAAGGAGTTTGCTAGTGTAAAACTAAAGAGGTTAACCTGTTTATGATATAACACATTCTTCCCAAAATTTTATAGGGACATTTGATTTCAACTTGAGAGTTCTAACAACCTCTAAAAGAAGTTTTGTAAATAATAATAATAAAAACTGTGTTGTTTTGATCCTAAGGCCTTCGTTATGATGCCAGCTAGCTGGTTTACTTATGATACATGCTCCCATGGTTGACATAGCTGAAGTGTTCCTATGGTTGATGGCTGCTGGCACCATACTGTGTGCTTCATATTGCTCTGCATGAAGTGTTAGAGAAGCCATTATCGAACAGGACAAACTACTAGAGGTCTCCATTTTTGCAGAGAAACGATTTTAAAACTTAAATACCGAGCCAGGTATGATTGCTTATTAACTAAACAAACCATTAATAATGCCCAAGTTTTAGTAAAGCTCAGTAATGGTAAGGTAAACAACAGTAACCCAGAGATTTGTGTTCAACTATGGAGGTCGGTGGCGCGCGCCAGGAAACTGGAGCTGACGAAGACGACGACGTTTGGGATGGAGGTGAACCGCCGAATTTTTCAAATTTTACGAAGTATATGTTATTGTGCACCTTATTCTTTGTCCAGAAATTCTGAATACTGAAGAGGTAGAGAAGGGTCCACATCAGACAAACCTTATCGAGTCCCGACCAATGAATTCTGATATCCAAACCTACAAACACTATCCGCTCAGTCTCATTCCACTTAGCGTTGGCTCTTCTTTTTTATTTATTCCATCCATTTTCAGGTTGCTATCAATGGCGCATTTGATAACTCCTGCTCCGGCCACCGCAGTTCCCCCCCATTGCCAAACCCAACAAGCTTATATCCCCCACTTTGCACACACCTCATCATGTCTCGGATGACACACTTGTTCATCGCAGGTTTGCATATTCAACCCCCTTTTTATACTGTATGCAGATGTATACGATTGTATATGCCGACGTTTTTTCAGTTTGATGGTGGTACGGATTCAAGGGAAACCCCATTAACTACTACTTACTAGGTTTGATGCGGATGATGAGATTGGTTCATGGGTGCAGGACCCTGGCATTGGGCTTGGCAGGGGCATTGTTGGGATTCAGTGTTGGTGACCGGAAACGAGCGAATGCAGCAGCTAGAAGGCCGCCACCTCCACCACCAGCAGAGAAGAAAGACCCCAGTGTGAGTGGTGTCCAGGCGAAAATATTAGCTAGCAAGAAGAGGAAGGAAGCAATGAAACAAGAGGTCGCTAAATTGAGGGAGAAAGGAAAATCTGTCGGTGCCCCATCACCACCATCTGAATAGTTCGGTATTTAGATCACCAATCGTTTCGAAAATGGAAAATTTGTACTACTATTGAATTCTATAAGCAAGTTTGTAAACTTTCCATTCATTCCAGGCATTTCCTGTTCAATAACGAAGAATGTACATCTATGGAGCTAATCTTATGGCAAAAAAATAGAAAAATAAAATATTAACATTCCATCATTGCCTTGATTAACTATAGTTTGGTGTTACTTTCTAAAAAGCATTTTTAGTTAAAAAATTGTTTTTAGCCGTAAAATTAATATTAAACGGATAAAAATAATAATAAAAATTACAGTAAAAACAGTGGCTTCAAACCAACAATAAAAGTTAGGTTTTTTAATTTTTTTTATTTTCAAATTTATATTTGGGATCAAATTATAATTTTACTCTTACTAATGCATTATCTCCACTCAATTATGTATTTATATTTTATTTTAGTCATTTAATATAATAATTTATTTTAATTATTTAAAAGTAAATAAAATTCATATTTATATATTAAAATATTAATAATGAGTTGTTATAAAATATGTTTTTATTATAATTTAAATTGATATACTCCATATATAATAATGATTTTTAATTTATTTATTATATATATATTTGAATGGTGAAAAGAACAAATATATTATATAAATTATGTTATTTTAAATGAGTGATTGTTGTTGAATTAGAATAATTAAACACTCTACCTCATTATGAAATGGAATCAATGAGAGATGTCATAACTTCTAATTTAATAGATTCATTTTAATTTACAAGCATTAATGTATTTTTCTATAATATTCTCTCTGTCCAAACAAGTATTTAAATTATTATTTCATAATAATTTTATATATACATATAAAAAAGTATTGATAATATTTTTTTAATAAAACATTTCATTTATAAAAATATTATTAATGAGTTATATTAAAATATTATGTCATTTTTTTATAGTTTAAGTTGATATATTTTATATATTATAATATTAACAAATGTTAATATAATTTAAATTATATAATTTGAATTTACAACATAATAATTATAATGAACACTATTTTTCAAAATCATTTTTTAACAACAATCTCAAACAGATAAATTTTAAACTACACTTTTAGACGATAATTTTAAAAAATTCTTTTTCACATCACTTTTCGAAAACATACCAAACTGACCCTAAATGTATGTGATAATATGCTTGACAAGAACAGTAAGGTTGATTAGGGAAAATCTGAATTATAAAATCCAAAATCATCTGAAAAATATATGGATGACAAAGCAATATCATCCAAACAAATCAAATTCTATAAATTAGTTTGAGGACAATGCTTTTGAACACATTGTTTCATTCCGGCAGCTAGTTTGGATTGTTTTTGCACAACACTCGTTTTGTCGTTCAGTCATGTTCGATTCGTTGAATAAGGGAACAAGTGACCCGAAGGCCGAAGCTTGCTCTCAGATACATATCATTTGTAGTCTATCTATCCGCTCTTGTTTTTGTCGTATGCGGCATCAGCCGAGGTGGTGTCAATGTCATTCAGACCCAATTCTTCGTTTTGCTCCAATGATCTCTCATATTCCTCAACTGCACAAAACAATCCAAGTTCTTTTGAAATGAACCAAATAATCCGTGATGATAAAAACATGAAGAGAACCATAATTGAAGCATAGGGCCCAGAATTCATTTCATAACCTCCCTTATCTTATCTTCCCCATTAGTTCCTTAACTTCTTTTACTCCAAACTCTTGATTTTCCATGAAGAATCCATTTCTCCCATGTGTTCAGATATGCATATCAGGGTGCATCCTAATATGTGGAAAAACTTGAAAATTTTGACTATGCCTGTATCGAATGTATGCATATACCAACACTAATCTGTGAGTTTGGGTAATATAGAAATATCAATAAGGAAGAGCCCGGATATGTAATATAACTGTTATGGTAAACTGCCAAAGAAATCGAGACCTTTTATGGTTCCTGATCTATCACAATTGAATACGAGGTGATTTTCTTTTTCCATATGCTCACAATTTAATTGTCTACATTATACACACACGCGAGCGTGTGCGCGCACATGCACACACAGAGTGATTTCCTTCCTAAAAGGCATAATAGAGAATGCAAAGGCAATCATAATGATCAATGCATGGCCAGGAATTAACCAATATGGCCTTCAGAGTTCAGGTCCAGCCCTTTGTTGCCCAACAAAAAATTATTCGAGAAAAAAAAAGGGCAAAAGGGACATCCCCTTTTTTGTCAAGATTAGAGAACTTACAAATTAACTGATGGTCATCTTTAATATCATCAGTTGTGGGTGCAATGAAAGAGTTGGCTAATGCATCATCGAGAACTAAAGTCCAAGGTTCTGACATGCTCAGAATCTGCAAAATAGCGAGAAGACACTCATCTGTGAGGAGAAAGCTAGGATTTTCATTCTTCACTTTATAGGGCATTTGGTATTTGTCTCATTCTTCAAGAAATAGAAGTGTCAAGGGCTAATGGATGAAATATATCCTCATATCCTTCCATGTACATGAAACCAAAACACAAGAACAAACTTATGAATCATGTGTCTTTTAAGTGAAAGTGATACAAGGAAAGGCCATAATCTTTGTTGCTAATTTAGCATATTAAACAGGACCTTGAAATGCCACACATACTGGTAGAGCTGAAAAGGACTGGTATTCAATGCACTCACATTAATAAGAATTTACAACAGAGGCAGTGTTAACACAGTACCTTGTTCAAACTAGCTTTGAAGTCTAGCCACTTGTTTTTCTTAGATTCATCAAGACTATCCCCAAAAGTAAATCCATGCACTCTCTCAAGGCCTGCATATGGACACAGGATATGCACAATTAAAGCCTTATCCATGCAACTTCTCGTCAAAGACATGGAAACATAAGAAACAAGGTAGTAATACTTTGCCAAGGACATCAAATCAAAAACTTGAAGTAAAATGGAAGGTTAAGCTGTAGGTAGTAGCAAATTAGCCTACTGTTCTAGAAATTTAAACCAGATCTGGAATAGATCCTTTTCAGGGTGAAGTATCAAACTTAGCAGACAATGGTGGATGAGGACAATAAATAGCAAAATCAGCAAGCAGACTGAAAATCTAGCCTCTCTCAGTTCTGGTAGATATCAAGACCAGGCTAAGAAGATAACCATTCTGGGGTCACACTTGGCAAATAATGGAAGATGAGGACTATAACAGAATCAAAAAGCAACAGAAAATTCACATGAAGAAAACAAATGAGCCGAGCATTACTCACTTTCGCTAATTTTTGTAATAAGACCTTCAACTGTTGTAACTATCCCACCGAGTGTGCCACTAGCCAGCTCCAATTCTAGTTCTGGGACTTTTACGCTTGCAGTATCTGACTGAAACACTTACAGGACCAATAGTTAGATAGCTTGCCATCAGTCAAGAAAAATATGTTGACAAAAAAAAATGCTTCATTCCCATGAAATGTTTGTTACATGTATGAAGGCAAGTTAACACTATTAGAAACTTATGGTGACAAGAATGGGATGTAGTGTTGACTTAAATTGCTAAATTACAAGCTAAATTAATGACCAAAGTATGCATTGATAGAACTTGTTACAGTTGTGAAAATATATTTCCTTACAGCCAAGATATGGCAATACGTGGATGTAATCAGCCTTTATGTGTGATTCCTGTTTTTTGATAGAATAGGGAGACCTCATTAAAAAACCCCTTCATACTCAACGAAATATGAAAATTTCGTCGAGCATTGGAAGGAGGAAAAGAGTGTCTCATAATTTTATTGAAACATCGAACATTACAACTTAGAAATCATCAGAAATAACATCCAGTATAAACCAAACAATACAAAAACCCCCAACAAACACTATTGTGAAGCATAGACTTCCTTTTCCTATTGATTGTGTGCTGGAATCAAGGCTCCTTATGGATAGTTTCTTATCTTTTCACTTCCATATTCAGATAAGAAAATTGTCTTAAAGTCAACCTACCTAGCGTTCCTAAATCAAATAACCACATTAAGTCCACATTTCACCCCTTCCTTGGGCAACAAGATTCACAGCCAATAGAATCCTAGAGGTCTACATATTAATACAAATTGGTACAACACCATTCTCAGACTAAGTCTGCTTCAGTCAAAATATAGCTTAGTAAATTTACCTCTGGATATTACACCAACAAGAATCTTAAAAACATTCAATTAAAAACTAGTCACTATTGCAAACAAATACACTATATTTGTCTTGTAAAATCGAGTCCTACTGCCAAAAAAAAAAGGAAAAGGAAGGAAAACAAAACAAAAACCAGTCTACATTGTGGTACATACATAAAGTGTTAACTTATGCAAACAAACACCAGAAGAGTAGCTAATGTAGTATTATGCTGAGAACCTGGTCACTATTGCAATGCATCTATGAAGAATGATATTTATCAGAACCAACCTTTATAACATCACGGCTTAAATCATTGACGTTTTTCACACACAGGGTTATTTTCTTTCCCTTCTCAGGAATTGGTCCACCAGGCTTCAACTGCAAGGTAAGCATGGTTAGTAGCCACAAACTTATTGGGAATAAAAGTGCAGTAGAAACAAAATCACCACCAACCTCAGAATTTCGGTAGCCACAACTGTCACATGTGGATGCCATTACAATAACTTCTTGAAAATATGGAATCCCTGTATGTGGTTAAGCCAACAAAATTATAGATGAACTTCACAGGATATCATGATGTGACGACACATAATTCAAATAAAAAGGTCTTGCAACAATATTGCTAAGTCTGTAACTGAGTTATTGACGGGCCAAGGAACTTGGGCAGGTGAGGGGGATGTGTTTGTATTGACCATAAAATAAGATGTATGTATCAGAAAATCATTACTGCATAACTTATATCTGAGATGCAATTACCGTTCCATCTCAATAAGAAAGACCAGCACTCGTGTTAACAATAAATTTAACTCGTGTAAAAACATTAGAATCTGCTTCACCTTACACTCAGAGTTCTACAGTAAAGCAACATATCAACATTCAAAACATCTATAACTTACATACTTCATATTAGCAAACTGAAAAAGGAAATCACGATGAATAAATAACTATGCATTTTTACTCAAAGTCAGATACTCGTTATGCATAGCCCTAAAGCTGCCAAGCTGGATCTAACCATGAAGCAGAAATGTGATGTTTTGCTCAAAATGCAAACCATGACAATATTATGGAGGATACTGGTTACATACATCCGAGTCTCACAACTAGCGGCACAGGCTCCACAAGTTGATGGGAAAGTCATCACCTGTTTAAAGGAAAGAACAGGTACCAAAAAATAGGCATAAAGGGAAATTAAGACAAAATACTAAATCCTAATGTACAACAAAATTAAGCATATCTAGACGGTTTTCTTTTCTTTTCATTTTTTATAATGATGGCAACATTTAGGATAACAGGGAGAGGAAGAGGATAAATTCCCATTGCCATTGCCATTGCCAATGCCAATCACAATCTCTGTCTCTTATCTTTTTTCTTGTTTTTTTTTTTTGGGGGGGGGGAGGGGGTTGGGTTTCAAACAACAGGCAAATGAACTTAAAAATCACTTTTCTTAACCTCACTCTCGTTAAATTAGTTCTTCTATTTCTCCAAAATTATCTGTATAATTTAATAGTTGAAAGCGGTTTACCTCTTCAGGTGCAGAATATCGGAATAAGGCCTCAGCAATTTCAGCACTATTACTCTGAGCAATGGCCTTTTGACCAGCTGCTGCTCCAACTGATCCATGTGGTTGTCTTCTTACTTGACCAACATCATTGTTTATTTCTCTCATAGATGCTTCAGGTGCATTCAACTGCGACAAGTCTACAAGATATCCCAATGCTGCTTGTTGTTCAGGTGTTCGATCATAGAATCTAATGCTCAATGATGGATCAGGAGATGGAGCAAACCTGATGACATTATCATATTCTAATGTAAGCTAGCTAGAATAACCCAATTATTGATTTAATTTTTTTGTAGTTAAACTTCAATTCTTGTCCTGGGGACAAACAACACTCTGATCTTTCATATGGAAGCAACTGCTTTACATTTCAACAACCCATCAAGACAAAAGCATAAGTCCATAAGAAAAACAAAAAATTATTAAAATAGTGCTTTCTCAATTATAATTTTTCCTCTTACGGGTTCTCAATAAAGCTGTTTCCAGCAGGGTCATCCAAGATGAAGGTGAAGGGAGACTCTCCTGTTGCACAAGCTTTCAGCTTCAACAAAAACTGGTCAATTGCTTCTGCAGTTTGAGGATCAGCTTTCTGTCCAGTAAAAGAAAACCATGTCAGGTACTGAAAACTACGTAGCATCAAGCAACACCAAATGTCAATCACAAAATAAACCTTGCGTTCTTCTTGAAGGGCTTGTAGTCCATCTATAGCTCGAACTAGTATTCCCTCCACCTAGAAGCATTATACAATATCCGAGTTGGTTTCAAAAATAAGAGGAAGAAAATCCAAATTTTAAAGTAGATATATGGATGGCCTCCGTGAAGCACTGAAAAGTTAAATAAAGCAAAACATAATAGGCAAGAGGTTCAAGAAAATACTGTTGATAGACTTCCCCGCTGAGCCTCAGGTGGGATCTCAAAAACTAGTTCAGGGATCTACACAATTCAATGTATTTCAGTTGAGAAATACATATCGGGGAAAAAGAGTTGAACATCAATAAAACATAAACAGAAATGTAAAAATGGGATCATGAACATTTTAAGAAACTGTACCTTTATGGTGGCAGACTCCGATTTCACCACTTGTCGAATAAACATCTACAGTAAAAAGAGACGTATTGGTAAGGCATAGATATCACTTGTTACAGACAATGCTAGTTCAAATAGTTGAAAAGGTATATGGACACAAACATAAATCTATATAAAACAAGAAGAAAGCATTGGTTTTTTTTTTAAAGAATCAAGTAGGAAAGACAACTTTTGGATCCCCTGATTGGACCCCCAAACGGTAATGGCATCCCTTGGGTTGAATTTCACCGGCAAATTGAACTTCATTGTTCCTAATATGGACAAATAGAAGCATGAAAAAAAAATATCGAAAAGAACATTTTTTTAATGAAAAGAATAATTTTTTTCAAGCATATAGTAAGTAAAAGTTAGATTACCTTTCACCACAATGCGGGCATTCAAAAGCTGAGAGCAAGACCTGGAAGCAAAAAAACATAAATTACTAAAAAAACAAAAAAAAGGGAACGAAATTGAACACTTTGATAATTACCTTTCTAAAATGAGGGATTGAAGTCAATAAAAACCTTGTTGTTCCCTGTAAACGAAATTTAAATCAATGCAAACGAAAATAATAAAGTAAAAATAAATAAATTAGTAACAGTTTTGTAATAAAAAAGAAAGAAATACGTTCTGAGTGCAGCGCATGCAGAGGCTTTCGACTTCATAAAGAGGAGTGGCGTTATCGTCATCAGCCGATATAGCTTCAACTACTGATCCGACGTCGTCTACAGGTTTCTCTTTATTACTCTCCATTTCTCTCTGGTAATAATAAGTCAGGCAGACGTGGAGACCGAAGAAGAAGAAGAAGAAGAACGGCGGGGAATGTAATAAGAAAGAAAAGGCTTCGAGGAGTTTCCTGAGGTCTGTTACTAGTTTAATCCCAAACAATCTGGAGAAAGCCCAAAATCAAGCCCATGATTATTTGGCTTTTGTATTAGAATACGCTCGTGAAACTACATCAAATCATTAATTAAATATTATAGTTATCCTCTTTCTGATTCACTATCGTTTACCCACTATTATTACTTCAAGGCATAAATCATATTTTCCATACTCATAATTATCCATACTCATAATTATCCGTATTCATAATGTTTCCACTTTGAGATTTCTTCTCCAGCCTCACTCTTGCACTTGATGTCAAAATCCTAACTCATTGAGTTGCTACAACATCCCTCGGTAATCAATTAGCCTTTGGGTCTTGATAAGTTAACATTAACGGATGATTCTACGATACAACAGGCCAACAGCTTAATGTAAGGTTAATTAAAGAAACAACCTAAAATGTTAATTTTTTCCTTATTTTTTCGGATACAATCCTTCTTCGTAAGATTTTAAGTTACAATTGAAAATATGACATTTTTCATAATATTTTCGATTTAATTAAAAATGTTAAACTAACGTTAACATTATCTATTTTTCTTCAACTTCCAATTCAAGCTTCACCTCAACTAGAGATGAACATTTGTCGGATTTCAATCCGATCCGGATCGGTTTTTATCCGATCCGGTTTTTTCTCATAGAAAAAAACCGGTTTATAAAATAATCGGTTCGGTTTTTAACCGGTTTGGAGGGTCGGATATCCTAACCGGTGTAACCGGTTTCGGTTTTAAAAAAACCAAAAAAACCGGTTATAAAAAAACCGATTTTAATATTCCAGATTGCTCATAGGGAACCGATTCCCCCCCAAGGGGGTACCGATTCCTCACTGAATGGTTTGGCTCTGAGATTTCCAGAATGCTCGGAGGGAACCGATTCCCCCATAGGGGGTACCGATTCCCCCCTATTCAACGGTCGAAATATTTGAATTTTACACTTAGGGAACCGATTCCCTATGAGAGGAAACCGATTCCCTATGAGAGGGTACCGATTCCCCCACGCTCCAAGCATTTTTATTAAATGTTTTCACACTTAAACGGCTATATTATCTTCATTAATTATCACTAACGTTCAGAAGTGATTCAAGGTGTATTTAAGCAAGCTTAGAAGCCATTGATCAAAGACAAGAAACATCAAGCAACTAGAATCAAGAGAGAATCAAAGAGAAAGCATCAAACCTCAAGTTCGATAAATTCAAATACTTAATTGAAATACTTAATTAACTCAACATAATTGAAATACTTAAATACTTCCAAGTTTGATAAATTCAAATACTTAAAAACTTCCAAGTTCGATAAATTCAAATACTTAAAAACTTCAAGTTCGATAATTGAAACAAAGTTTACGATAATTGAAATAAAGTTATAAAATAAACTACATTGCCATCTCTTCTTCATCATCTTCGCCTTCTTCGTTTGGAGGGGATATTCCAAGTTCGACTTCTTCAATGTGTAAGTTTGCTTCCAAATCGGCATCAATTGCATCTTCTAGGGTGGTGATATGTTGCTTACGAGCCGCTCCATCCAAATAATCCTTTAAACAAATGCATACTTCCACCGACTCGGGACTTAGTCTTGATCTCCGTTGCGATATAACCCTGCCACTAACAGAAAAAGCGGATTCCGAAGCTACCGTAGAAGCTTGGACGGTTAGTAAATCACGGGCCATGGCGGCTAGAATCGGAAATTGTGCTTCCTTTTCTTTCCACCAAGCCAAAATATCCAAACTTTCAAACTCTTCAAATGTCATTTTTGATAGAAAATCGCATGACATATAATTTCCCAACTCGCTACTTGGGGTGGTAGTACGTGATCGTTTGGATTGGGAATTTACAAGAGTGTTAAAAAGATTCAAATTTATGTTACTTGGACGTCTACTAGATGATTCCGCATTCATTCTCATTTGATCGTGTATTACACTACTTGATCCGTATTTAGTTAAATAAATTGCAAACATGTCTCGAAAACATTTGTTAAAATAATTTATTTGGTTTTGGACAAAGTTTGGTTCATCATCGGTTAGATTAAAAGCAAACGCAATTTGTTCAATTAGTGTTTCAACTCCACCAACATTTAACGTTGGGTTTAAAGCGGCGGCACAAGTAAAAATGGGGGGAATCTCCTTAAAATATTTTAAAAGTATTTCCTTCATTGCAAAGCCAATTTCTTGAAAAACTTCGGTTTCAAATTCAAAGTCATTTAGTCGGGTAGCCAACAAAAATATTTGATTAAGAACCAACGGGCTAGTAGGGTAATAAACACCGGATAAAAAAGTTGTTGCATTTTTAAAAACCTCAAGCAAATCGGTTATTTTGACTATAGTTTCCCAACTCGAATCCGGATAAATGTTTGGGACATGACCCCTCTCGAAAAGCCGATCGTGAAATGTTTGCAATGTTTCCCTTTGCCTTAAGGCAGTATGCATCATCATTCAAGTTGAGTTCCAACGAGTTGGACAATCCAAATTAGGACCCAAAGCTTTTTTATTAACGGACTTACAAAATCGTTTATAATCATTTAGTCTTTTGTTGTTGTTACAAAGAACCGATTTTATCATTGTTTTAAATTCTAATCTAATCGGCTCAATAACCTCCAAACCGGTTTGCACGGATAAATTAATTATGTGTGCAACGCAACGGGTATGAAAAAATGCACCGTCTAAAATCGGTGAAAGTAATATTTTCAATCTTGGAACCGCGTTTGTATTATTCGATGCATTATCAAAGGATATAGAAAAAACTTGATTTTCTAATTTATAAAGACAAATTACCCTTTTTAAAAGTGTAAATAAATTAGCACCGGTATGCGGCTCACCGAATAATTCAAACGCGATTGTTCTTTTCATCATTTGCCAATTATCTTGATCTAACCAATGTGACGTAACGGCTAAAAAAGAATTTCCGGTATTATGAGGGGAACTCCAAACGTCACATGTAAGCGACACACCATAACGGTGTTCTTGGAATCCTAAAATCATTTTTCCCTCGCCGTACGCCACATTTTTATAGCATCTCTTCTAAGGGTAGTACGACTTACTTAAGTATAGCGTGGTTGCATTAGTTGTTGAATTGTTATCGTGAAATCTTCATCATCAAAGTGGTCGAACGGCAATGCTTTTGTAATCACGAACTTTGTAAACGCTTCTCGTAATTTTTCGTTGTCGTAAACAAAAACATCACCTTGCGGTGTAAGATTCGATTGACTAGGATCCGATCTTGAGCGAAGTGCCTTGCATGATTTTGTCAAATGGTTCTTCAACGTTGTGTTTCCTTCCGATGCAAGAAACTTTAGACAAAGTTTACAACGCGCCCTCCTCGAGCCATTTGACATGTCACATAAATCGTAGTGATCCCAAATGTCTTTGTTTCGAGTGTGTTCGATCACTATCACGACTTCAAGATTTCCCCCGACGGAAGATTCAGCCGTGTTACTCATGATGAACAAAAAATTACAAAAGTAAGATTTGAGAGATGTTTAAGTGTTGTGTAATAAGATTTGAGAAATTTGTAATTAACCAAATACATCCCCAACCTATTTATACATGTTTAGGGTGGTAAAATGGTAATTTTTTAAAGAAAAAAAGGTCAAAACGGTCACAAAACCCCTCCAACGGCTAGTTTTTAAACCCAGACCGGTTTTTTTTTTCCGGATAAAAACCGGGTTTTTAACCGGTTTTTTTCAAACCGGTTTTTTATCCGGTAAAAAAACCGGTTAAAATAACCGGTTTAAAAAAAATCTGATCCGGTTAAAAAAAACCGGTTTTTCTCAAATCCGGTTTCAGATATTTTTTTCGCAAAATCGATATTCGAATTTTTTGTGCACCCCTAACCTCAACCCCACCCTTTACAAACTGAAGAAAACATGAAAAATGAAATCTCCTCTCATTTACTGTTTTCTTACTGAAAACGAAAGAAAGTATGCCAATGTACACTCATCATTTCTCATTATTCAAAGTTTGGTTAAATGGCCTTGTAAGGCCTTCCGTTTTTCAATTTTCACTAATGATACAATTATTCTCAATTTTTGTGTAATTTCTTTATCAAAACCCCTTCTCCAATAAATTTAACATCAGTGCAGAGCCAAAAAGCATACAACCAAAATAAAAAGGAAGGTGGTCTTTGAATCGCTGAACAAAAACAAACATAAGTTCATTCTAATACCAGCAACATGAATAAAAAGCAAAAACATCAAAATAATCACATCTCAATCCTTTGTATTACCTACAAACATGATTGTTAACAAGATTCCATCTCCCCTACTCTTCATTCTGACTTTCGTCTTTGACAAGCTTAATCATATCATCGATTCGAAGAATAGTTATGGCTGCTTCCGTTGCAAACTGGCAAAACATTATTTTAGGAATCATATGAGCAGATTGCTCTCAATGTTGGATAACATATTCAAACAAAAACTGCTGAATTACTGCAATAACCTGAAGAATCTTCACTTTGCTCATCGTGGGCTCGATGACCCCTGATTCTAAGTTGTTTCGAACGGTTCCATTCAAGAGGTCCAAGCCCATGCTGAAAATTGAAAAGATGATATTATCTAATATTTTCATTTATAAAATTACTCTCGTTCATCATAAAATGCCGTGTATACCTTGAAAAATGTTTCTTATCAGCCTTGGTTTGAGCAGTGTGGTGGTAAGCCCGAAGTTTTGCAACTAATTCAGTGGAATCCTTTGCGGCATTGACTGCAAGGACCTGTGCATGTCGACATGAATATTTACTTTTCATATAAGCAAGAAATGAAATGGGGTAACAAAAGATAAAAATTTCACAACTTGCTGCCTAGCTTAACACTAATGCTACCTTCGGTATAATTAATAGAGCTTCGGCAAACTCTGCAATTGCCAACTGTTCACGTGATCCTAAAGTCGTCGCGAGATATTCCAAATAAACGGACAAGGCAGCTTCAACTGCACCTCCACCAGCTACTAC